GCCACGAGTAAGGTTGAATCTCCGAAGGAGGGGCCGTGGCCTCTCCCCAGGGCCCTGGGAAGGAGTAAGATGACCACAGTCCTGTGTGGCTCCATTCGGCAAAAGCTCTGGGCACCCTCCAAATCCCGAGTGTTCCCACACAGTTCCAGTCCAGTCTGCCCTCCCTCTGCTGGAGCCCAAGGTGAGTGGCTGCTGCCAATTTAGCCTCTGTCCCGGCTCTGTGCCGTGGAGCCACCTGGGACTTTAACCCGTGGGCGCTGCTCCCAGTTAAGGGCAGTGGAGGCTGCGGCAGCTCCCAGCTGAGGGCGTAGCACCCAGCCAAGGTCGAAGGACCCAGCCGAAGCAGCCGCAGGTCCCAGCTGAGGCAGGTGCTGGTCCTAGCCGAGGCCACAGGACCCAGCCGAGGGCACAGCTTCCAGCCGAGGCTGCTGGTCTCAGCCGGGGCCTCAGTAGGTTCCAGCCGGGGCTGCAGCAGGTCCCAGCCCAGGCCGCTGCAGACCGTGGGCTCCCGGCCCCCTCTCACGTCCTTGCAAGCCTACCAGGATGGAGTCAGTGTCCCTGGTTATGTGGTCCTCCAATCCTGATGATTTGTCTTTAATTTTCGTTGTAATTCCAGTTTGGTCCAGGGAGATGGTCTGTGTAGTTTCCATTCACTCCGCCACCATTTTTTCTCTCTATTCTTTAATTGTTGATGTCCTAGGTTGGAATGATAGTTAAGCTGTGCTTTGGATCGGGGCATGTTGGTTTTTAAATGTCAAGGCTGACCTATTAAGTTATCTTTCTTAGGTGCTCTGGAAATCATACATTGATTTTGAAATTGAGCAGGAAGAAACGGAAAGAACACGCAATCTTTACCGACGATTGCTTCAAAGGACACAACATGTCAAGGTATTCTGTGCTTTATAGATTATCTTTGATTTTGCTTGCTTAAATCATCAGTCCTGAAGAAATATTGCATTTCTCTATTTTAAATGTTTTAAAATATGTACTTATTTTAAATGATTTCCTTGTTTATAGTGAACCTGTTTTAAGTCTCAGAGGACTTTGGAATATTAAGCTTATACCAGGTCAATATTTAAACTGCATGTGAATAACTTGCGTATCATAGGATTGGATAAAAAGTTAAACTCATGGTTTTAAGATTATTTCAGACACCTATTTGGATACAGAAGACTGCTTCACCTTTAACATACTGAAGCATATAGTAAATCTTATATTCTTTGGACTAGAAGAAATGAGTATGATAGTATGTTTAGATGTTATTAACAAGAAATTAGCTTTATTATTATAATATTGTATTCTAGGTGACATGGTTAATTTGGTTCTATAATTTTTTAAAGGTATGGATCAGTTTTGCTCAGTTTGAGTTGTCTTCAGGGAAAGAAGGAAGTTTGGCTAAATGCAGACAAATTTACGAAGAAGCTAACAAAACCTTGCGAAACTGTGAAGAAAAGGAAGAGAGACTTATGCTGCTGGAATCTTGGCGAAGCTTTGAAGATGAATTTGGAACTACATCAGATAAGGAAAGAGTAGACAAACTCATGCCAGAGAAAGTCAAGAAGAGAAGAAAGGTCCAGGCTGATGATGGGGTAAGAACTGAGTCCCTGGAGCTGGTCATCTCATGTCAAATGAGCAGAAATGCATTCTGACTTAGAAATCTGTACTTTTAAGTGGCATGTGTACATTTGAGAATGGGAGCAGATAGCCTGGGGTAGGTGACAGTTGCAGTCTGGCTAGTGTAGATATAGTATATAGTCTACACAGAGTGGGAAATGGGAGACGGTTGGCAAAGGCTTGTTGGCTTATTCCAGGAACTACATGAAGTGTGTATTCCTAGGGCATTAAGCAGATGCAGAAAGTCAGGATGGAGAAAAATGAAAATCATCTTTTAGGCAAGACTAGGTCCAGATAAGACTTTGTAGGATATAGGAAGGCTCTTATGTGCAAAATGACGTGACCCAGTCGTCGGTATCTTCTGCAGGCAGACTCAAGGGGCTTAGATCTTAAAAGCACCTATCATGGGAGAGTGTTGTAAGCAAAGCAAGTGTTGTTGGAAGCTGGAACTAGAGCAATCTTTAGGAAGTGAAATCAGGGACCCACTGGAGGTGAGGGTGTTAGGGCAGGGATTCAAAATAATTACACAGATATATGGCTTTTGCTACTGGGTAAATATTAAGTAAATCTTTAAAATTTAATCTTTAAATCTTAAACAGAGTGCAAGATGGGAGTTGGAGGGGCTGTGTTTAGATTTTTAGAATTTTTTTCCACTAGGTTTCGAGCTACATTTGCATCAACACCAACCCAACAGCTGCTCATTCACTCCCAGTCTTCAAGGCCCTTGTCCTTTCTGTAGTAGACTTTGATGTTGTTTTATAAAATGAAGATAAGATGAATTTGAACTCTGGATTTTCCAGTGAAAACGCTCAACTTTAAAGTAACTCAAATGTATTTCAGCCACATTTGCTTATCTTTTAATTGTTTTACTTTGTATCTGTAGTCTGATGCAGGCTGGGAAGAATACTATGACTACATCTTTCCGGAAGATGCTGCCAACCAGCCAAACCTCAAGCTCCTGGCCATGGCCAAACTTTGGAAGAAACAGCAACAGGAAAAGGAGGCTGCCGAGCAAGACCCAGATGAGGACATTGATGAGAGTGAATCCTGATCTTCTTGTTCATATTGATGTTTTATTATTTTTATAAATTAATAGTTTCGAACTCTGACTCCTGTAAGTTTTTGTATATTTCACCAGTAATGAACTGACTGAAATCTTTGGCAGCTACTTTTTGAATTATTTTTTAAATGTCCTTGGACTAGTTATGGGAGTAGAGGACTGTGAGTAAAGGAATTTTTTTTAACTGCTGGATTTTTTTTGACTGAATCCAAACATTTTTTATCCATGTAATGCATTAGGAAATCTAACTGAAGTAATGTTTAGCACCTATTTTAGATGGAAATGCAGGCTTTTGAAAGAATTTTTTTCTAGTTTTCAGGTTATGTTCTACAATAACTTTTAGGGTGTAGTTTTCTCATGCCTGTCTTTTTCATAAAGATATTTTATGTGTTCATCTGAAGCCTTTAACCTTTCACGTCTTCAGAGTCACACTCACTTAAGATCCATTCCCAGCTGTGCCACTTAGGGATATAAAATGCAAATCTTTATTTTCAGTTCTCTTCACTCATAAAATGGTATAATACTTTGTCAACTTATTTTGAAGATTAAATAAGGGCTATCTATACCTAATGTATAATAAGTGCTCAATAAAATGTTCATTCCTGTCCAATTGCTTAAATATGTTCGATTCTATATCCCTTATAGAATTGAACGTGCTTGGATTAATTTAACTTCTAAAATCCTTACTTTTCATGGCCATTTATACTAAGTGCTTTTCAAAACTTTAATTGGAAATTAATTTCATTGACTATATTTCTGAACAAGGTCTTTTTTACCAAGAATCTATTAGTCAAATTTCAGCTATGCTCTAATCAGTTTCCCAGACTGGTTGAGCTCTGTAATGGCTTGTTTAGAAAATAGTAATACATGTGCCATGAAAAAGAACTTCCCACACTCAAGTTTGGGAAACCCTAGATTAAGGCTTCAGCCTTGTTAAGTCAAATCTCTTTATAGGCTTCTCAGAGCCTTTGATGTACTACCATACATGTGAATTACCAGTAACAATGCTGGCATGTTCCTCAAACTTACTGGACCAGGGAACCATTTCTACCTAGAGCACCAATAAGCATCTCCCAGTGTCCTCCAGTAGAAAATGTCTGTCCCTAACACCTGACACATTAAACTTGACCCTTCCTTTAGAACATGTGAAAAAACACATTCTAAATACTAAATGCAACTTAAATACACGGAGCATAATGTATTTGATGATACACTGCTCACATTCACAAGCAAAACATATTTGCCTTAATTAAGTGATCTGAAATTGTTTCCTTTAACCTGGCCTGTCTTTTCTTGCTCTATTCACTGCCCAAGCCATTGAACTAGAACTGTGTATCTTCAAGACTGTTTTTCACCTGTAAGGACAATTAGCAAATTTATTACTGCAAATTTATTATTACATTTGCAAATATATTATTCACCCACGGGAATATGTTACTAAATTAATTGTATCTTGAAAATAAGGTAGTTTTGAGGGCAGAATAAAATAGGACTGTGAGGATAAAAGACCTGTTTTCAGCCTCACTGGTTTAGTCATTGGACCAGTATTAGCTGTTGGGGTGTCAGGTTCTAACTGTTGAGTAGTACGGTCTGCCTAGTCAGTGAAGAGGAACATTGTGATTTTAGTATCCTTTGGCAAAGGGTGAGATAAAAACAGGTCAAAATGCTAACAAAAGTGACTAATCATAAGAGTCTAGCTAAAATTGTTTACGTTGCATGTGTGCAATAAAAAAAAATTAGTGATCATGTTTTCAACGCAAACTCTTAATACTTTCTGGCAAGTACCAGTGTGAAATGCATGAAGGAAAATGTTATTCTCTCATGGTAGAACATAAGGATTCATTTCTTGTTCACTTTCAACTCTATGAAAATAAATCCTTTCAAAAGTAACAACTTTTCAATAATCATTTTTGTGGGTTTTTCTCTAGCTGCTACTTTTACTCACTATCTTCAGATATTACAGGTGATGAAACACATGAAAATATATATGTTGCTGGCCTGTGATCTAGTTATATGGCTTTAAGGAATTAGGTTTTTTCCCCTTTAAAGAAACCTCAGCATCTTTTTATATTTTGAAAGGAAGGATTTAAGCAAAGTGTTTAGGAGACAAAACAAAGAACTGATCTGGGACTAACAGTATGAAAACAAGTTACTGGGAAGAACTTACTTTAAAATAAGAAGGAAACTTAAGTATGCTGGACAGTGGTTGTGTCAAGTATTCATTTTAAAAATGTTTTATATATAAATCAGAAATTTAATTAAGAGAAACAACATATCCTAAATGATGCTTTCTCTATCTTAGTTTTACAAACTTCCAGAAAACATAAGTGTCAACAGTGCATTTTATTATACATCTTAGAATCAACATTTCATATATGCTTTTAAAACTTCAATCAATAGTTCAATACAAAATTATATATATGCAGCAGTGGTTCTCAGGCATAGAATTTAGGAGAATTGGGGCAAGTTTTTTCCCCCTAGCATATAGTGAATATTATGAACCATGACAGTAGAGTGTTTTCTTCTGATTTAGCTGCCTTTCTGATAGAATTTTACCACAGTGGACAGCTTTAATACGTATGACATTGCTTACTGGAAACAATGAAATTTAAAATATTTTCTTCAAGTATTTAAGACCTCAATGAGTATTCTCTAACAGAGCTCTAATATTATCCAATGAAAATAATGTCCATAAAATATCTACAGCATCAGCCTAAGAACCACTGCCCACAGTTATTCAATGTCTTCAGGCCTCACAGGATGAGGTAATGGTATGATGGATTTCTTCTCAGTGTCCCTAGAAAGTGCTTTCCTCATATCTGTTAGGAAGCAGAGTTTAATGTAAGTAAGTACCCAGATTTCAAAACAGTGTACAGGCAAATTTAAAATTTAAAGTGTACAGGCAAAGTTCTCATAACAGATTTTGTCTCTTACCCCTACTTTCACCAGATTCTAAGAGAAAATATCTTTATATAAGTGAGACTCAATCACAGTAACCAGATGCTAACCAAAGCCCAAATGGGATTCAGCTCTTCATACAAATTTTTTTTCAATAGAATCTTAGTAATAACATGCATATAACATAGTAAGACAGTAACTGACAGTAATCAGCCATTGGTTAGTTAATATAAGCTAACTAGTGGTAGGTTGGTAAAGGTAAGTTAAAGGAAATTTAAATATTATAGATAAATTTAAAATATTAAATCCAACAAATATGATTCTTTTAAGTCTATTAAAATAACTGAGTATTTCAGTCTGTAAAATGAATGTAAATGTTCGGCTTAAGAGGAATATGTTCAGGAATATATTGCCAGAGAAGCGAGCTTACCATATGCGTCCTCATCAGGTTCCCCGTTGCTGGCTGAATAGTACTCTATGACCGTCCTGTATACACTGTAGCCCAACCGCTTGTACATGTTGACTGCAACTTGGTTAGATACTCTTACAAAGAGATCAACAAAAAATCCACCTTTTCTTTAATTTTTTTTTAAAAAAAGAAAAATGTTAAAATGTGAGAAACCATAGAAAATAGTAGATACATATATTTTTAAAAACAGTACTTGCTTTTACTTTGATTACTACTCAGAATGATAGTAATAGGACCTTGCAGATGATTACATCATAAATCAATTTTTTAAAAATACTGCTGAGGATATATAACAACTATTTCACTATATAAAAAGATGATTTTGTTTGCATGCTAATATTTAAAAACCTACAATACATATTTTCTTAAAATATAAATTTTAAAAAGCATTTATTTTACCACAATTCTGCTAACTGGCTTAAATTACTGTGTATTTTATGTCATAGTAATTGATATGCTCATTTTACCAATTATTCATACAATACTTTCACTCATACAAATTAAAGATTTTGAAGCAAGCACCAGGGTGGCCATGACCCAAGTGTAGCTAGAGGGCACTGGTCACAGCTCTGAAGCCCTCAGGTCCCTCTGGTCAGTGACAGCCCCTCCCTTACCCAGAGGTCTCCATGTCCTGACTCTTATAATCATTAGCTCCCTGCTTTTTGCTGTAGATTTGCCACCTATTAGAACTTAGTTTCTCCTGTTCAAATGGACACATACTTGATAATTTTCTTTAGTGATATGCCTCTCCCAGTCAGTATTATGCAAGTCAGCCTTGGTGTAGTTGGAGCTTGTTCATCTGCATTTTGTTTAGCATTCCATTGTATGTATATACTACAAATTGTCCGTGGTCCTACAGATAAATATTTCCAGTTTTTACTATTACAAACTATGCTGCAATGAATATTTTTGTTGTTTTTCATGCTACAATATCTAAAATCTATAGCTAGGAGTTTCATCGCTGGCTCATGGGGGTACACACATATTCAACTTTATCACATATCTGTTTCTCAACCAGCTTGTACTACCTTCCACTCCCACAGAAATGGGTAAGGCTCCATTACCACAGTACCAAGGCTTGTTGCATCAGACTTTATTTTTAAAAATCTTCTGATATAATGGCATCTCAAGGTTATTAACTGGCATTATGGATTACTAACAAGGCTGAATATATTTTTGCTGGCTACTCAGATTTCTCGTCTGGAGTCCCTATTGGTCTCTCACAAATCTTTTTTTCTCCCCTAAGCTATAGTTCTCTATGTATTCTGGATCTTCAACATTGTATAAAGCAGCGGTTCTCAACCTGTGAGTCGTGACCCCTTTGGGGGTCAAACGACTCTTTCACAGGGGTCACCTAAGACATAACAGTAGCAAAATTACAGTTATTAAGTAGCAACTAAAATAATTTTTTGGTTGAGGATCACCACAACATGAGGAACTGTATTAAAGGGTCGCAGCATTAGGAAGGTTGAGAACCACTGGTATAAAGGATGTTACAAATCTTTTTCCCAATTTGCATTATTTTTTTCCAGTTTGTGCCTTGTCTTGTCATTATCTTCATGTATCTTTTGATGATCAAAGTTACTTTTTACTCTAATGAACTTGAGTATATGAACCTTTCCTTTATAGTTAGCATTTTTATGGCCTGTTTCAGTTCTTTTCTACCTTGAAGTCAGGGAAGCACACTCCTATATTAAACTAAAAGGGCTTTTTAATTTTGCTCTTCACATCTAAGTTTTTAATAAATCTGGAATTGATTTGTGTCTAGTAAAATAGTAATCTGGGGGGAAATTTCTGGGCATCCAACTGTACCACCACCTTTACTGAGAAGTGTATCCTTTCATCACTCAAAACAATTGCCTCCTCTGAGCTATGTAAAAATTCATGTATTCCTGGATCCATTTCTCAAATTCTGTTCCACTGCTCTAGACAACTACTCCAGCCCCAACACACAGTTTCACTCATTACAGCTTGATATAATGAAGGGGTAAATCCACCTATTTTGTTGTTCAGGAATATACTGTCTCTTTTAGGCTCTTACATTCCCCTATAAGTTTCAGAATCAACGTAAGTCCCACAAAAAATACTTGAGATTTTGACTGCAATTAGTCAAACCACAGTTCTTGACCATCTCCCATCTGGAACAATTCATTTGATTCTAGACCAAGTTGTTCACAGAAAAAATGTATGTGTCTTTGAACAAAACTTCATCAGCATGACCAAAGTAATTTCTCAGTCCACAAAGGACCGAATGCCAATCAGTTTACTGCTTAAATATCAGTTAACATCATAGGAAGGAGTGGTGCGGATACTTTTTTTGTTGTTTTTTGCTTTTGTTGCTGACAAAATGGGTGATTAGCACAATTTAAAACATAGAGGCCATAGAAAGTGCTAATATTGCTAAGGCTGTGAAGGAAACTGATCACAGGCAACTGAAGAGGTAGAAAACTGTTGATTTGGATAAAGGAAAAGCAGTTAGCCAGTAGCAGCATTTAGGAGGCAGTGATGTGAAAAATCTAAGTTGCTGCACACTGACTTCCTGAAAGATACCCCTGGAACGAGTGCTGAAAGTGATTCATTTAAGGCTAGTAGAGGGTGGTTCAATAAATTTAAGAATGTTTGTTTATAGATTAAACAGTACATTAGAAGTACCCTAGATAAGAAAAATTTAAATGGATTCATTTGGGGGGTCTGGAACAAATTAATTCAATTTACATTATTTCTAGTGGGAAAAAGTGATGTGGTTTTTAAACAAATTGCTTCTCAGAACAGCCTTCCGGAACAAATTAAGTTGGAGAATCGAGGCCCCACTGTACATTGGCTCTGTGAACCAATGACCAGTTTACTATATCAAATCCTCATGCCACTGTGGTAGTTTATCTCTCCATTTAGATAGGTCATCTTTAATGTCTCTCAAAGTTTTATAAACTTAAGAGGTCTTGCAACTTTTGTTAGATTTTACCTAAGGGCTAAATGCATTTTGATGTCATTTGCAAATGACATCTTTTTCTAAATTTTATCATTTGTATAGAAATGCAATTGAATTTTATACTAATTTTATACACAATAACTTTGCTTAACTTTCAGTCTAAATCAGCAATAGTCAACTGGTGTGCCGAAGCACAATGGTGTGCCACAAGAACTTTTAACATGCAATACCTGACTATTTAGTCAAGGGCATTGACCTTTTTTCCCCTAGCACTGTCAAATAAAAAAAAATGACAACAGCCCTGGCCAATTTGGCTCAGCGGTTAGAGCGTCAGCCCGCAGACCAGAGTCCCAGGTTCGGTTCCCATTAAGGGCACGTACCTCGGTGGCGGTTTGTCCTCGCCCCAGTAGAGGTCGTGTGGGTGGCAACCAGTCAATGTGTCTCTCTCACCTCAATGTTTCTCTCTCTCTTCCCCCATCTCTCCCTCCTGCTCTATTTAAAGATAAATGCAAAAATGTCCTTGGGTAAGGATAAAAAAAAAAAAAAATTACAACAGCCAAAACACAATAGCCATCAGATGTGAATGAATCAAAATTATACTTTTTTTGTGTGTGTGAGATGGGCAAACAATACATTTTTTGGTGTGCTGCAGACTTTTAATAATTAGTTTATGTGTGCCATGAGATGAAAAAGTTTGAAAATTGCTGGTCTAAACATTTACTTGTTGATTCTTGTGGGTTTTCTATCTGTACAATCTTATCTTTGCAAAGTAAGTTTGCTTCTTCTTAATCCTCTGTTTTATTTTTCTGATCTACTGGTACTGTCTAGTATTTCCAGGATATTACTGAAGAGGGACTGACTATAGGTATCTTCGTCTTGTCCTAGATTATAAAAGGAAAACATTTAATGTATCACCACCAATATTTACTACAGACTTTTTAGATACTCTTTTTTCAGTTTAAGGAAGTTTTCCCCTTCTACTTCCTAGTTTGCTAACAGTTTTTTTTTTATCAAGAATGAATACTGAATTTTATCAAAGTATTTTCTATATTTACTAAGATAGTAATTATTCTCCTTTAATCTACTACAGTGGTGGAATACATGTACAGATTTTCTAATGTTAAAACAACCTTCTCCAGATAAAGCATCCTCTTTATGAATTGCTGAATCCATTTCAGTAAGATTTTTCTGGGATTTCTGCATCGATAATGAGATTTCCTCTCTAATATTTCTTGTCAGTTTATTATCAAGGTTATCTCAGCCTTGAAAAAGTAATTTGAAGAATGTTCCCTCTTTGTGTAAAATTGAACTTATTTCTTAAATAGAATGGTAAAATTTTGCCAGAAAAGCCAGAGTTATCTATGTGGAAAGATTTCTGACGACTGATTGAACTTCTTTAAGTACGGGGTCAGCTCACAACTTTTTTTATACTGTTCCCAAGCTAAGAATGGTTTTTGTACAATTTTGAAGTGTTGTTTAAAACATAAGAGAGATTTTAGGTAGTCCACACAGCCTAAATATTTACTATCTGGCCCAGAAAAATCTATTGACCCCTGTTCTATACCCTTAATCAATTTCTGTCTGATTGTCCTATCAATTAGAAAGACGTATGTATGTTCAGATCTCCCATTATGGTGATGATTTGTCTATTTCTCTGTGTAGTTTTGCCAAGTGTTGCATTTTCACTTTGAATCTATATCACTGCGTACATAAAATTTTTTATTATCTTCCTGATGGATTAAATCTTTTCTCAATATGCATTGACTCTTTAAGCTGGTAATTACTGAACTATACTGTGACAATTGTTCGTTTAAGTATACCAACTGTTTTTTGGTTAGAATTTGCATAATTTAAAAACTTACTTTCAATCTTTCTGTATCTTTAATCTTTACACATATTTCCTGTAAACAGAATAGAGTTCTGACAGTCTCTTTTCTTTTTCAATTTTATTTTACTTTTCAATTCAATTTTATTTCATAACACAACATAGATCTTAATGAGTTGTAAATGTACAAGACATTATCACTGACTACAGGTACAATGCTGTACAGCAAAATCTAGAACTTACTCATCTTGCTTAACTAAAACTTTGTTTGCTGATTAGTATCTCCCTACTTCCCCCTGCTCCCAAGCCCCTGGCTACCACCATTCCACTCTTTGATTCTATGAATCTATTTTAGATATCTGCTGTAAGTGGGATCATGCAGTATTTATCTTTCTGTGACTGGTTTATTTCACTTAGCATAACATCCTCAAGTCTTTGTCTTTTTTTTTTTTTAATTTAATTTTTTCTTTATTGATTTTTAGAAAGGAAGGGAGAGAGAGAAACATCGATGAGAGAGAACATCAGTTGGCTGCCTCTGCATGCCCTGTACTGGGGATTGGGCCCACAACTTGGGCATGTGCCCTGATGGGGAATCAAACCAGTGACCTCTTAATACATGGGCCAAAGCTCAACTACTGAGCAACACCGGCAGGCTAAGTCTTTGTCTTTTAATTGGAGTCATTAGTCCATTAACACTTACTGTTGTAATTACCAAAAATATTTACATTCACAGCTACCATCTTATTTCATGCTTCTTATTTATTTTGTCACTTTCATTTCCTTTTCCTTTCTTCTTTTGAAGTGATTTCTATCATTCTATTTTTTTCTCTACGTGTTTATTTTGAAGTTATTACTGTTTCTATTTTTAACGTATACATTTAAAAATATATGTATATATATGAATGTATATATGTATGGGTGGATATAGGTATACACACACACCCATACAAATAAAGATCACTTAAATCTTATGTATTATTAAGGACTAGAATTGATTTCTTTTTCAGCTAACATTATTTCCTCTTTTCTGAAGGAGCCTGAGTTCCTCTTGCCACCAACTTGGCTAGCAGCATTTTCAAACCATGGTTATTTCTTTAAGACTTACCTTTATTAAGTCCATTAATTAAGTGTAAAGCCTCACGAGTGCTTCTCAGCAGCTATTCTCCTTCCTATATACTTCTCAGCATTTAAAGTACAGGGTAAAAATGGCAGCTTGACAACTGGTTAAACTTAATACACACATCTCTTATCTCTTCTAGAATGGGCTGGCATAAGGGGTCCTAGCTTTAATACTATATTGCTTTAATCTCACATAATAAGGGTGTTTAATATATACAACAGGTCTTTTTTAAAAAGCCATGTTGGCAGTTCCCAAAACTGCTCCAGGGTACCCGAAGGTACCCAAAACTCAGAGGTGCTGTAGGATATTTCAAATGTTTGGGGGAAACAGACAAACCTTTCATACCAGACAGTAGCAAACTACTAGTTTGATATAGTTCAAAAATACAACATTACATGATGTTACATTCCTTTTGATGACAATATCTTTTTGAAGCCAGGGTTCTGGCAGTTCCTATGATTCAAAATAAAATAAAATAAAGTACCACATGAAAATCAAGGTGAAACAGGATTGCAAGTGGTATGTTGATCCATTTCCAAGATTTGAGAAGTCACACAATACCCAACAGGTACACACATCTCATTAGTCAACAAATGCAATTATTTAACAATGAATTACAAATATTTTTCAACTTGTTTACTTTTTTTCTAAATAGCTACTAGGCTATTAGGCCACAAATACTTATTAATCAATTAGGGCATAACTGCTTATGACAAAACTATTTCCTTTTGGCCAAGGAGCTCTGTGAAAAAATTAAGATGCCAAGCGCAATATTAACAGAATTTGGGAATATCTCCCATAGTGCCAAGAACACTAAAATCCTTGAGGGCTAGTCTTTGATTCCATCAGTTACCCAGCTCATAAGCCTATGGTAAGTCACTTATTTTGCCTTAATTTTCTTCAACAGCAAAATAGGGACAATAATACCATTCTGAATGTGTGACAGAATTATTGTGATTACTGGAAGCTAAAAGTGAAATTCCTGTAAACTGGAATTCATGGTATTTATTCAGCCTGAAGGAGGAAAAAAAAGTCTTATAAATGTCACAAACAGAAAAATCAAATGGTTAGGGTTCATAAATTATTATTAGAAAAGCAGGAGCTTACCTTTCTGAAATCTCCTCTAATAACTCCATAAGTTTAGCAGCTAAACCAAGGCGTCGAAATTCTGGGGCAACAGACAGAGCTGTGACATGTCCATGCCATTCTTCCCTAGCAACTGAGCCTTCTGCTTTACCCATAACTGTCAACAAAGATTGCATTCATTAATAAACACACAGGCTTTTACATAAATATAGAATTAGTTTGATTTTTATTAATAAGGAAACAAATGATAAAGTTTTAATTTTTAAATGCTACTAAAAGTCATCTACCTAGTGGTTAATAGTGTTTTAAAAAAAATTATTTTTATTGACTTTCAGAAAGAGAGAGAAACATCAATGTAAGAATACAATCCTTAGGCTGCCTCTTGCACACTCCCAGATGGTGGTCAAGCCCAAAACCCAGGTATGTGCCCTGACTGTGAATAAAATCAGCAACCTTTCAGTGCACAGGATGACACTCAACCCACTGGCCAGGGCTTAACAGTCCTTTTATTTGAATTTCACTTGTAAATGTCATGCTAAATCTAGTTGTGGAATCGGAATTAGAACATTTATTTATTTATTTATTTATTTTATCCTTACCCAAGGACATTTTTCCATTTTTTGTACAGATAGAGTGGGAGGGAGAGAGAGGAAGAGAGAGAGAGGAAAACATCGAGTGGCTGCCACCCGCACGACCAACCAGGGCCGGGGACAAACTGCAACCGAAGTACTTGCCCTTAGCGGGAACCGAACCCGGGTCTCTCCGTACCGCAGGCCGATGCTCTAACCGCTGAGCCAAACCGGCCAGGGCTAGAACATTTTTTTAAAGAAATGATATACTAAAAACATAAATGATTTTGAATATAGAACCAAAATATATATTTTTAAAAATATCTACATCTCACATGGGTAAGCATGTGTGTGGGTACGTGTATATATACACATAACTGAGACGATCTACAGCTAAGTTTTTGTTAGTAATGCTACTCAATGAAGATGCTATAATCCTTTTATTATGTACCAAATAAATTATGTAGATATATATAGATTGAAAGATCCAAGAAGACTGAGACTATGTTTGTTTGGTTCACTGCTGTACTGCCTGAGTACAATGCTTAAAACACAGAAGGGATCAGTGAGTTGTATAATGGTTGAAAGGAAATAAAATTATAGACATCGTGAGTATACTTTATCAATTTAAATCAGTTTAAACCTATATTAATATCTTAACTACCTATCCAAAAAAGTATTAGTGGTATGATACTTACTATAACCCATTAACTCTCCACCAGGTGCCTCTGCAACGATGAAATACTCTGGCCAATGGGCGAGGTACTGTAAGTAAAAAGGAATCCCATACTAGTCTTGTTAAGGAATGTGAAAAATGATGGGCAGTAACCAGTTCTTCATAAAAGCGAAAGTTTAAGAAAGTTTCCTTTAAAAAGTACAGTTACTTTACCGCCAGCTCTATATATGCATGTTTTCTATAATCATATCATTATGTGAAATATTTAGGTTAGCACTAATTTTTACCAATTTACCCGAACATACCACCTCAAATGGAATGAAGACTGCACCATCTAACAGAAAGCAGAGAACCAGAACTCTAAAGTTGTTCTGCTTTCTGTCTCCCTTCTGATCACACTGTATCTAAAACTCTGCACAGCACTTATCCTCACCTGATATTCTTATTTATTTACAATCTGTCTCCCCTTAAGCACTTATCCTCACCTGATATTCTTATTTATTTACAATCTGTCTCCCCTTAAGACTATGAGTAATATCACTCTATCCCTGGTGCTTCACACATAAATGCTCAGTATGTTTATTTTCCCACAATTGCACTGGAAAATTAATTACTGGTTTCTACTTTAGCTTCAGCTATGAGACTGAAAGTAACTTTAAAATTAAGTACTTCCCAGTTGTCTTTTATTTGGTAAATCATGAACTAGTGTAAATTTGTACAGTTCATGTATATTGGTTGTGGCAAAGTTGGATAGATTTCTGTATTATTGGATGATAAATTTTTCTTCTCTCTATAATAAAGTTTTTTTATCTTGGAAAACAAAACAAAAACTAAGTACTTCCAGAAGCAACTTAACAATTGCTCAGTTTTCCTTTCCACTAATTCAAATTCTCCATTTCTAGTAATGCAATCGAAGCTGACTTAAGAGTGAATGCTCATTACTTAACTCTTCAACCCTGGTTTTTTTTTCTGATACATACTCATTCCTATATTTCTTCTTGGTATAAGCATGCTGATGCAGTTCTATGAAGGGACAGCATCAATCATACACTTAAAAAAAAAAAAAAGTTTCCTGCAAAACCCATAAATTCTTCAAACTCTCCTCTGAAGGACAAGCTTTATTTTCATTACTCTTCAAACATAACCCCTAATATGACAGGCTTAACACACACCACTGTCTTTTCTGAGGCGCCCACTCATCAACCACTAGGAGTTGGTAAGTTACTTTCAAATATGGCTTTACCTGGATTATGAGACTTTTACTGTAAATTTTACAGGTAACTGGCAGCATACCATATAAGTTGTGATTTGCATCCTAGTATTTTCCCTTATTATGCAGTGAAAATTTCTGTTGTTCAAAATTCTTCAAAATCCTTTTACTTTTTTTTTTTATCCTCAACCGAGGACATTTTTTGTTCAGATAAAGTAGGAGGGAGGGAGGGAGGGAGAGAGAAACATAGACGGGAAAGGGACACATCGAGTGGCTGCCACCTGCACGACCAACCAGGAGCAGTGACAAACTGCAACCGAGGTACGCGCCCTTAGCGGGAACCAAACCCAGGTCTCTCTGGACCGTAGGCCGCCGCTCTAACCGCTGAGCTAAACCAGCCAGGACTCTTTACTTTTAAAAAAAAACTTGGAAAGGTCTTTAGTAGGTCATACTTTTTAAAATATAAATGAAAACTTTAGATTTTTTTGCTTCTTCCACTCAACTATTTCTGATATGTAGCCCTGTTGTTGCCTCTACCTATAATTAATTTTTACTACTGTATAGTATTCCGTTGTGTGAAAAGACAATTTAAATATACTATCTCTTGACAGTGGACATCTGGGTTGTTTGCACATTTTCAAAAACTTTAAAATTGTTTATGTATATAGAATAATTTATTTAGCCATTTCCTCATTGTTGTGTATGAATGTTATCCCAAATTTTTAATAACTGCGATAAATATTTTTGTAATGGCATAAATGGTTAACAAGCATTTTTTGTAAAGGGCCAGGTAGTAAATATTCTAGGCTGTGGGGTCTATATGGTCTCTGATTACAACTACTCAAACTGTGAAGGTCATGGATACTCAATATAGCTGTGCCCCAACAAAACTATTTATAAAAACAGACAATGCTCAGTATAGCTGCATCCTAGTAAAACTTTATTTATACAAATAAGCAGTGTGCAAACTTGGCTTATGCACCTTAGTTTGCCACACCCTGACATAACTGCTTCTGTTGCCTGTTATTTTCTGCTCCTAGGATATGGAATTACTAAGAATTACTTTGCCAAGTGCTTTCCAAAAGAAACTGTTGCAGTTTATAGCATCACTAGCAATGTATGAGAATATTCCTGTAACCTCACCCTCATCAGCACTGAGTTTTATCATTTTTTTTTTTTTTCATTCTTGATAATTTGATAGGTAAAACATCACATCTCATTTTGGTTGTAATTCACATGTCTTCTGACTGATGAGACTGAGCTCCTAATATGTTCACTAGCCTCCTAGATGCCCTCTTTTATTAAAATATCAGCTAATATTACCCTCCTACCCTGCAATGGACGTGGATAACCCAGAAATCCAAGTTTGTATTTTAAGCCACTAAGAGTGAGAATTGTCAGTGCAACATAACCCAGAGTACCCTCACTTCATATGTCTGCCCATTTTTCTACTGGGAAACATCATAGACACTGCTAATTATTACCCCAAATCCTCTCTTCACTTTAATGACAAGCCCCAATTTAAAGCTAGGCGCATTCTGGGACTCTTACAGCTGGATAAATGTAGCATGAAGCAGGTGCTGGTCAGTGAGATACAGGAAACACTTTCACTTTCCCCCATGTTGATCCTCCTGCCAGGAATATGGATATGATGTCATTTGATCTGGCAGCCATGGGATAGGAAGGCCAAGGCCACCCTGGGAAGTGGTTTGAGTATAGAACCTGGTCACTGGTGACAACATGGAACCACCACCTGCCCTGGACTGCTCATCATTTCCAGACTTCATTCACAAGAGACAGAAATAACCCATTCTGCTGAACTCACTACTTTCTGTCATGTATAGCAATACTTACTACTGAGAGGGAAGCTGTACTGTTATAGATTTATGAGGTCATTATATTAGCAGCTTGTCAGGCAGGTTTAAGACAAATCTTTTTCCCAGTTGTTTTTTTAAATTGCTTTCATGTTGCTTATAATATTTCCTGAACTACAAGTTTTTTTTTGGTACGTGCCACTAGCGGGAACCAAACCCGGGACTCTCTGGCCCACAGGCCAAAGCTCCAACCACTGAGCCAAACCGGCCAGGGCTGAAGTACAAGTTTTAAAGTTTTTCAGTACTTGCCTATGTTTCCCTATTTTCCTCACTCTTAGTAAGCCTTCATTTAACTTTTTATAAAAAGGATACTGTTTCTGTAAGTGGATCCAAGTTACTGAAAGAAATAAGAAATGTCAACAGTAAGCAGTGTTTACAAACCAGTTTAAACAAGCCATTAAAACTAAAAATAATATGCACAAGGAAATAAAAACATGCTAAATCCACTTTAAAACCAACTTTAGGGCCCAGTCGGTGTTGCTTGGTGGTTGAGCGTCGACCCATGAACCAGGAGATCACTGGTTCGGTTCCCGGTCAGAGCACATGCCCAGGTCGTGGGCCTGATCCCCAGTGGGAGTCGTGCAGGAGGTGGCCAATCAATGTTCTCGCTCATGGATGTTTCTCTCTCTCCCTTCCTTTCTCTCTAATATCAATAAAGAAAAAACAACAACAACAACAAAACCACCTTAGTGCTAAAAAAGATGGTTTAAATGACCTAATGGCCATATTGCAAAATGATAGTTGCAAAAAAAATTTTTATTGTGGTAAGAACTTTTAAATATCTACTCTTAGCAACTTTTAAATACGTAATACAGTATTATTAATTATCCTATCCATTACATGCTCATGACTTAGTTATTTTATAACTGGAAGTTTTGTACCTTTTAACCCCCTTTAACCCATTTTGCATGAATAACTTTTTAAAAAATTTGTATGCAACCTCAAAAGAACCCAAATAGCCAAAGTAATCCCAAGAAAAATTAACAAAACTGGAGGCATCACACTCCCTGACTCCAAACTATAGTACAAAATTACAGTAATCAAAATAGTATGGTATTGGCAGAAAAACAGACACACAGACCAATGGAACAGAATTGAGAGCCCAGAAATAATTCACACATATATGGACAACTAATTTTTGACAAAGGAGCCAAGAATATACAATGGAAAAAGGAAATGGTGTTGGGAAAACTGGGCAGCCATATGCAAAAGAATGAAAATAGACTACTATCTTACACCATGCACAAAATTAACTGAAATGGATTCAAGATCTGAATTTAAGACCTGAAATAATAAAATACACAGAAGACACAGGCAATGGACATTGGTCTCAGAAGTGTTTTTTGTGAACTTGATCCCAAATGCAACTGAAATAAAGCAAAAATAAATTAATGACACTACATCAAACTAAAAACTTCTGCAAGCAAAAGAAACCAAAAGGCAACCAACCAAACAGGAGAAGATATAAAGAACTCATAAAACTCAACAACAAGAATCCAATTAAAAATGGGCAGGGGACCCAAACAGACACTTTCCCAAGGAAGACAGACATGTAACATCACTAGTTATTAGGGAAATGCAAATTAAAACCACAATGAGATTATCAACTAACACCTGTTACAATGGCTGTTATCAAATAAGACAAGAAATACGTGTTGGGAGGACGTAGAGAAAAAGAAACCCCTTGCCCTGGCCGGTTTGGCTCAGCGGTTAGAGCGTCGGCCTGCGGTCTGGAGAGACCCGGGTTCGGTTCCCGCTAAGGGCACGTACCTCGGTTGCAGTTTTTCCCCGGCCCTGGTTGGTCGTGCGGGTGGCAGCCACTCGATGTGTTCCTTTCGCATCGATGTTTCCCTCTCTCTCTGTTCCTCTCTCTCCCTCCCACTCTACCTGAACAAAAAATGGAAAAATGTCCTCGGGTGAGGATAAAAAAAAAAAAAAAAAAAAAAAGAAAAAGAAACCCTCATATACTGTAGATGGGAAGGTAAATTAGTACAGCTACTATAGAAAACAAAAGAATTCTTCAAAAAAACTAAGAATAGAACTACCATATGATCCAGCAATTCCTCTTCTGGGTATTTACCCAAAAACTATATAAATACTTATGCATTAAGATCTATGTGCCCCTATTTTCACTGCAGCATTATTTACAATAGCTAAGACATGGAAACAATCTAAGTGTCCACAGATGGATGACTGGAGAAAGATGATGTGGTATATATGTAAAACGGAATACTACTCAGCTTTAAATGAAATACTGACATTTGTGACAGCATTGATGAAATCTTGGGAGTGTTATGCTAAGTGAAATAAGTCCGATGGTCATAGATATAGACATTAGCATGGTGGTTACCAGAAAAGTGGGATGCAGGGGAGGGTGAAGTGGGTAAGGGGGACCAAATATATGTTAACAGAAGGAAACTAGACTGCGGGAGCATGCAATAGAATACAGGGGTGTTAAATGGTATACACCTGAAAGTTATATGTTATTAACCAATGTTAACCCAATACATTTAAATTTTTTTTAAAAAAAGTAAAATCAAGTTAAAATGAACATCAAAGCCTAAAAGTAGAAAAGAGGTCTTTTAGGTTGTAGAGACAGGCCCTCTCTTAGTGGAAAGGTGAATAGAAACACTGACCACTTTGGTTTTGCTGCTGTGTAGATAGACCCTTGTTATAAATAAGAATACTGCTTAAGAGAAAGGGAGATTAATACTAAGGCCTGTTATGGGCTGACACTGTGTTCAGCAATTTCTCTGAAAGAAAACAATAACCTTTTTCATTAAAAAACAAGCAATCAGGCCAGTTTGGCTCAGCGGTTGGAGCGTCGGCCTGCGGTACAGAGTGACCCGGGTTCGGTTCCCACTAAGGGCATGTACCTCGGTTGCAGTTTGTCCCCGGCCCTGGTTGGTCGTGCGGGTGGCAGCCACTCAATGTGTCCCTTTCACATCGATGTTTCTCTCTCTCTCTCTCTTCCTCTCTCTCCCTCCCGCTCTATCTGAACAAAAAATGGGAAAATGTCCTCGGGTGAGGATAAAAAAAAAAACAAGCAATCAGAAGACAGACATTTACTATCAATGCTTAGCCAATAGATATAATGATCAAATTACTAGAGTAGTAACTTTTTAAAAGGCTTTTGTTTTCTTACATTTTTCTATATGAACTTGCTATTATCATTAACAGAGAGAGAGAACTGTAAAGAAAGAAAGTGATGTTCAGTTGTGGTGTGTTACCTGAATGAGCAGTGTGAAGGCAAGGACAATCAGCCATACTCTAGGATGGTCTTGCTTTGGTGGGCATCCATTCTTCATGAATAAGTATATTGCCAAAGGCAAATTATTTCACCACATACTATAAACAATACATTTCCCCAGACCGCCCATAAAGTTGCGTGATATATTTAAAAAACAAACAAAAAAACTTTTTTTTTAATTTTAATGACAAGAATGGCACTATTTTAACAATTTTACAGATCTTTTTAATGTCTGGCCTAACTGAAGACAGCTGGATTCTCATATATGTCTGTTATACTTGCTGTAAAAACACACATCTGGAAAACTCCACTATGCACTTGAGAGAATGAGAGTGCAAAAGGCAAACAAAAAAAACCCCTTAGTATTATTATGAAAATAGCTCTGACCAGGAAGAGCCCCAAAACAATCTTGAGGATCTGGAGAATCACTTGCTCTAACATATTCTCTCCTCTTGCGTCAACTCTCCAACAGGCCATCCCCCTTCTGCATCTCAGCTGCTTCCTACTTCACAAAGAAAATACGACAGTTAGAGCATCGGCCTGCGGCCCATAGAGACCGGGGTTCAGTTCCCACTAAAGGCGCTTACCTCGGTTGCAGTTTGTCCCTGGCCCTGGTTGGGCTGTGCAGGTGGCAGCTACTCGATGTGTCCCTTTCACGTCGATGTTTCTCTCTCTCCCTCCCACTCTATCTACACAAAAAAATGGAAAAATGACCTTGGGTGAGGATAAAAAAAAAAAAAGAAAATACAACAATAAGAAAAAAGCTTCAGAATCCATCCATCCACCTACAGCATCTGCACTATCTACCTGTTCTCCTGTAATCATGCCTAGAGTTCTGGCAAGCAGACCCCACTCACCACCTTGCACTACCCTGAATCCTGCTCCTGCAATTTTCCACTCCCTAAGAAATGTACAAATGTACTTCACAATTAGGCATCAGCAGCTCTTGACATAGTTCCCTACTACCTCCACCTGAAACATTTTCCTTGCTCAGCTTCAAGACCCCACCATTAGATTTTCCTCCCACCTCAGTGGGCCACTAGGTCTTCACTCTAACATTTGATGCCTTAGGGCACCATCCCAGAGCCTAGTTTTCTTTTTATAAATCCTCACCAGAAGATATTTTTCTATTTATCTTCAGATAGAGTGAGAGGGAGAGAGAAACATCGATGTGAGAGGGACACATCAACTGGTTGCCTCCCGCAGGACCCCAACCAGGGCGAGAGACTAACAGCAACCGGGTACGTGCCCTTGACCCAAATCAAACCTGAAACTCACTGGTACGTGGGCTACTGCTCTAACCACTGAGCAAAACTGGCCAGGGCTACATGTATTTTCTTTTGTTTTCCCCTCTAAAATGTAAATTCCATAAAGATATATTTTTCCTGTTTTGTTCACTGGTACGGTTCCATTAATAGTTACACAAATAATTTTCTAAGAATAAAATATTTGTTAAATTAATTCTAATGTTTCTACATCCACTGCTTCTTTCAATTCTTGTTGCAACACCCTAATTCTGTGATTCTGAGTTCTCTACAGAAGTACCCTAATCAAAGTGAGAAATAGGGAAAAATGGGAAGGAAGAGGAATTCCTCTACTGGCATACTCTGAAGAGGCCATATTAAGCTGAATGATTCTTTGACATCTAATGTTTTATGTACATGTTCGTACTTACTTCTACTCATTTTCACATAAAACAGTATTGTCTCTTCCCAGATATTTAGTTAAAACTGATTCTCCAAGAGACTTTACCGTTTCTATCCTTGAAGCTTCATTGCTAACTGTCACCTCCCAGGCCTGCACCTCCTAAACCCAAGCCTTTGTTAAGTTGTCATCTTTGGGCCATTGTCAAGATCTCCTATATGGCTTACCTACCTGGTATACTTCCTCTACTCACTTCCTATTCCACATAGGTCTGTGTTGAAGAGCTTGGACTTCAGACCAGTGGTTCTCAAACAGTCGAGAATTTGCATTTCCAAATTGCTGTTGCCAATCTCCTCAGATTAGACTCCTTGTTTGACTCACTCTCACTGCAAGGCTCTAACATCTGGGATAATTCAGTTGAGCTCTCAGTATCTTCCTTAATTTGCTCATACATAAAATAGGGGTAATGAGACTACCTACTCAGAGAACTGTGAGAACTAAATGTTATTACAGTGCCAGCGCTGGGATCAGCAAAAGCTCAACACAAACTGTCTTAGTTATGCTGCTTCCAGGGAGTGACCAACAGAAAATTCTTCCAACAGGATCAATTGTAAACCCCTCAACAATGGAGCAAAAGTGGTTTCACCATTTTCTCTTTGGCTACTGAGATCCAGAAACCCACCACTACAGTCACACTTATCTCCAAGTTGTCTGGCCACACCTCAAGCTCTCTCACCTTAACACCCCCTTCCTTCTCCAGAACTTCCTTCCTCATCATTATCAACATTTTGTCCACCCTTCAAACATCGATGTGGGATTAGTGAGTGGATGAATGGGACTGGTAGAAAAATGAGTGGATGGATAGGCGATGGATAGATATGTGATGGAGCCAATATCGCAAAAGCTAAACTGTAGAATTCAGATACCACGCCTACAGGTGTTCGCGGTACAGCTGTCAACTCTTTAAATGTTCCTAACTTCAAAAATAATAAAAATGTTTTCTTTAGGGAAAAAAAAAAAATGGTAACTGTAAATCCCATATCCTGACAACTCGGACTGAAACAAACTGCAACAAATGGGCCTCCACCAGCACGCGGCCCCGCCCTGACTGCAGAGCAGAAAAAAGCTGTGCGGGCTGGGAGAGCCGCGCAGCAACCGAGGTACAAACCCAAAGCCGACCGCCGACTGCGAGAGGAAGCGCCGCGGGGCGCCACGGTCCACTCGACACTTCACTGCTGTGTAAGTGCACCGGCAGCACCAGGTGGGCTGCGACACACACTCGGCTACCAACTACTGTCCTCGCAACCACCTCTGCGGCCAGTACTTTTGGGGTGTCCACGGCAAGAAGAGGAAGCCGCGTCCCTGGCCCGTGGGCAGCAGCGCCGGGCGCCCGGCCCCCACCTCCGCCTACCCAGTGCAGACTGACAACGGCCGAGAACTGACCCAGGGTGGCGGGATGAAGTTGAAGCGCCCCAGCCAAGGTCAGCAGGGCAGTGTGCGTCCGCCCAGACCCCGCCTCGGACCCTGCAGCCCCCAGGGAGGCACCAGTGGCGGCCAGGCAGGGTTGACTCCTCGGACCCGAGCCCGGGCGAGGGGAGCCGTCGCCCGCACTCGCCCAGTGCGCATCTCACTCACATGTTGTTGAAGCGGAACAGGTCGTCGCACGTGAAGGCCCGGAGTGTGGTCATTGCTCGCCGCCGCCAAAGCCGGCCCGCCGCGACCTCGCCTGCGCCGGAAGTCAGCCAGCGAGCGGCCGCCGCGGTGTAGGGCGGGGAACTTCTTCCGGGTCACCAGTTGCTCGGCAACTACGCAAAGACGCAGCTCCCTCTAGCGGCAAGTCCGGAGCAGTCAGACCACCTCTGGAAGATCAAGGGGTTCTTACCCTCAGAACCTGGAAACCCCTCCACCAGAGTGACAGGGAAAAGTAGGCAATGCAGTGCCGTAGGAAGGAGACACAAAGTTGCCAGGATTAGGAAACCAATGCAGAAAAGCGGCGTTTAGGATCACTTGGGTGCCCCTTAGTAAACAAGGAAAGAAGTGGACGGGAATGGAAGGATTCATGGTCCAAAGAGTCCTGTCCCAATGATGCAAATCCAGTATGGGCTCTCAAATTTTCTGATAGCACGTTTAAAAACAAAAAAAGAAAGGTGAAATTAATTTTAATAATATTAATAATTTTAATAATATTTTATTTTACCTAGTATATTCAAAATATCACTTCACACATTATCAACAGAAAAACTATTAATGGAATGTTTTACTTTTTCTTTCTTTTGTATAAGTCTTTTAAATGGTGTATATTTTACATTTGCAACATATATTTAAATCCGGGAGCTAAATTGTCATCAGAAATACTTGTTCTGTATTTAGATTTCATAAAATTTATACATAAAATGCATGGTTAAAAATAGATGCACACGCCCTGGCCGGTTTGGCTCAGCACTTGGAGCCTTGGCCTGAGGTACAGAGAGACCCGGTTCCCTTCCCGTTAAGGGCGTGTACCTCGATTGCAGTTTGTCCCCGGCCCTGGTTGGTCGTGTGGGTGGCAGCCACTCGATGTGTCCCTTTCACATCGATGTTTCTTTCTCTCTCTTCCTCTCTCTCCCTCCCTCTCTATCTTAACAAAAAATGGAAAAATGTCCTCGGGAGAGGATAAAAAATAATAATAATAATAGATGCACACACCCAAACACTTCCAATCATGCTGAGTTTTCAAATAACTGAATGGAACATCAGTTTACAAATTTAAATTAAAGTTAAAAATTTCATTTATCAGTGGCACTAGCCACATTTCCAGTACTCAGTAGCCCCATGGGTAATAGCTGCCATCAAGTTGAGTGGCCCAGGTCCAGAGGCTAAGAAATGACCATGTTCTACTCATTTTTGGAGGTTTTTCTTTTTCTCCTCACCCCCTTTCTAAACAACTACTGAAGTTGTTTAGGGACAGTTTGCACAAGTTAAACCAACCCAAAGGACTCCTCAAGAAGAAATCTAAATTCCAAGGCCTTTAAGTCTCTAACTGTCCTGGGGCCAAAGTTGGTTCAAAGGAATCTCCTCATCAGGCCCCTACATAGACATGTGGCCCAGGCATGGAAGGAGGAGAGAGAGCAGGTAGTTAAAGAAGTATGTAGGCTCATAAGAAAGATCTCCCAAGGTCCAAGATCAGCTCTAGACCTTGTTTTCAAAACCTCAACAATGTAGGCATGTGAGTGTAAACACATGTGTGAAAGTCCCTGGGACTTACAAACTCATGTCCACAGGTACTACACATGCACCAGCAGGGCAAATGTGACATTATGAGCTCAGCTTCTGCCTTCCAGGTATTTAAACAGGGAGAAATTTTAGAGGCAATTTCAATATCAGCAAAGCCTAATGTGCCATAATAAATGAGTGTTAAAGGATAATATTTAGAAAAGGTAAAATTATTCTCATGCAAATATAAAATTAACATGTTAAACATTTTGACTCTTTAATCAAAAGGACCACTAAGATGTTACAACCTGTTTAAAGGAGAATTTAAAATGCACAAGACAATTGGAATTGCGGAAATGTATTTAGAAGTAGTGTAAAGCTTGTCAATACCCACAGAGCAGTAATCTATTGCATCTCCTGGATACACATGAAGCATTTATATTTCTATGGACAAGAATCACTTTTATTACTATCAATTTTTACAGCTTACAGTTTTGTAAAATAGGTCAAAAACAAGAAAAGGCAGAGTTAATCTGAAAGGGTGTACCTGACCAGACACCAGTCATCCTTTTTTTTTTTTTTTTTTGACCATTGCAAAGCATCTCACAATTTTTTTTTTCATGAACCTGTATTGGTTTGAAATTTGTTGTTTGTGAAGTTTTGATGATTTTTATAATTTTTATTTTGATTTATTAGCACTATAAACATAGGAAATGTATGGCTATTTTATATTTGTACCTATTTAAGTAATGTTATAATAAAAGGAAATTTGATTTTTAAAAACCACTGTGGATTAACACAAAGGCAACTCTCAAGCCCTGCAGGAGCTAGCTGTATGCTATGGGCTATCAGTTTACAACCGCTAACAGAAATTATGATTCTGAATCATTTCCAGACACAGATCAAAATTCTACAGTAGCTTCTTTGCAATGGCAATCGATGCCAGGCCATGAGAAATGTAGAAGAAATTAGAGAGAACATCTTGGAAACACAAGCTGGATCTCCTTTCTCTCCCTGTTTGAATACTTATTTTTAAACTCTTATCTGTTTCCATTGCTGAACACCTTAATACCTCTGATAAAATAGCACATAGAAGGGTGCTTGGCAGGTACTCAGTAAATATCAGTTGAATCGATAAATGAAAGGTGACATGTAAATCATACAGAAAATCGTCTGGCCAGTGTGAATCACTGGTTGACTATCAACCCATGTACCAGAAGTCGCCGGTTCGATTCCCTGTCAGGGCACATGCCCAGGTTGTGGGCCTGATTGCCAGGGAGGGCATGCATGCGGCCAATCGATGTTCTCTCATCGATGTTTCTCTCACTCCCGCTGCCTTCCTCTCTCTCTAAAATCAATAAAGAAAAAATATTTTTTAAAAAAAGATTATATAGAAAATCATGTCATCCTTAGTAGTTTATAAACAGGTGTTCACATTATCAGCTAAGTTATTTCACTGTGCCTCAGTTTCTGAAAAAGGTGCATAATAATAATCATATTCATCTCATTGGGCTGTTATGAGGATTAGATGAGCTAATATTTGTAAAGTACTTGTAATAGGGCTTGCCATTTAAGTTTTTATAAAAGAAAATAAATAAAAGTAAGTATTTTGCATTTTGAATAATTGAAACTTTGAAATGTAGAGTGTGGGAGAGACAAAACCCTCGACTGTGGAACCCGTGGCAGTCAGTGCAGGGGTGGTAGCACATTGTTCATGTCTTGAGGAGGAGGTCTTGGAAATGGATGGATCCTTTGAAGCCCCCTCCCTTTCTCTTATTGTCTTGCTCCACCCAGGAAAGCCTACATGCCAGTATGACGCATTTGATTTTATTTTTTTAAAGACCTCTTAGAGCTCTAAGTTTGTTTTTTGTTTTTCTAAGTATGTGTTATTTAATGAAAGTGATATATGCACATTATTTAGAAAATTGAAGACTTATTGCCCGGCTGGTGTGGCTCAGTGGTTGAGCATCAACCCATGCACAAAGAGATCACCAGTTTGATTCTGGGTTGTTGGGCCGAACCCCCAGTGAGGGGCATGCAGGAAATGGCCAGTCTCTTTTCTCTCTCATCTATGTTTCTATCTCTGTCTCTCCCTCTCCCTTTCTCTGTCTCTAAAAATAAAGAAAGAAAGAAAATTTTTTTAAAAAGAAAGAAAATGGAAGACTTGTAGAAGTGTACAAAGAAGAAAGCAACAAATCACTAAAAATTCTGCTACCCAGGAATAAAACCATGTTAACCCTTGAAGAACTTCAGACATCTTTTTTTGCAGTTTTAGGGGAGTGAGAAAAAGACTCTTATTTAAAAGAGGCTCAGATTATATATGTTAATATTATGTAAAACGTATTACTTTAATTTTTTAATTTAAAAGAATAAAAGAGAACTGACTTAAAACTAAAGATATTGCCAAGCACTAAATGGGTACCTAAACGTTTCCTTTAAAGTTTAAGTATATATTTTTATTACATCATGTATATTAAATATTATCTCAACATCTTAAGGAAAATCATTAGTAGATTAAAATTGTATTTTTTTATTATAAATTTTAATTTGGAACCCTATTGTCTCTTTGTAATGAAAGATGATCTGATTATGATTTTAGTATGTTCTCCTGATTATGTTACATGTATTATTATCACTTTTCAGAATGTATATACACATCTGTGTTATAAATACGCATCCCCCAGGTGTTTAATTTTAAGTATAATTGAGTAGATGTAACCCTCACCATCATTTTTTATTACAGTTTTCCCATTCCATTTTTCATTTTGATTCATTTATGGGTTGCCTGGATTTCATTATAGTCCTTTTTTTTTTCTGTGTTTTGCTTTGCTTTGTTTTCCAGGGGCTGGTCCTCTACTTCATAGCTCCTTGGTCTACTACAATGCCTGATTGGAAAATTGGCTGGATCTCCATGTGTCCCATGTTTTCTCTTCCCCAGAACTTTGTAAACATCTTTACTGCATTGCTTTTTGGTGTTTCAAGTTGCTCCAGGAAAAGAATAAGCCCAGCATGATTTCTGTTTTCCCTTTTGTGGATGACTTAGTTTATACTGGAGTGTCATAACACTTCCAGAAATTAAACATTCTTAACAGGGCATACATTGTAAATGTAGTGAATCCCTGACAATTTCACACTGAAATTTACACAAACACACAATCAAAGCTGGATCATTCTCACATTGCCAGTGGCAATGTAGGGTAGCACAACCTCTCTGGAAACGAGTTTTGTGGTTTCTTTACAAACTAAATACGCAACTACCATTTAACCTAGCATTTGAACTTCTGGGCATTTATCTACGAGAAATGAAAAGGTGTGTTCACAGAAAAAACCTGTACACAAATACTTAAGCCAGAGTCAAAAGTCTGTGTACTGTATGATTTCATTTACATGACCTTCTGGAAAAGGCAGAATTACAGGAGCAGAAAACAGATGTTAGGTTGACATGGGTATGGGGGAAGGGTTTGATGGCACTGATCATGATGGCGACTCCATGGCTGAATGTATCTACCAAAATTAATAGAATGTACACTAAAAAGAGTGCA